ACTACTTGAGCCTGAGTCACCAAAGACTCGCCCCCTTTTTCCTTTATCGAGCTACCACTTACCGCAATCCCTGCACTTTCGAACGAGAGGACAAACTCAAATAACTTTTGAATTCTTATATTTTATTAACAGAGTTTTCTAAAAAAAAATAATAAACAGATGGAATGAAAGGGAGGAGCTGAGGGCCGAACCCCAACGGTCACATTATGAGTAGAACTCTCTTACATTCCATCGCAGCCTCTCCGTTCCCTGACGTGACGTTCTTGCTGGTGTGGCGGTCCCATAATGGAATACTACCCGACTCCTCACTTTACCCATAATGCAACCACAGACTACCACTAACTGGTACCCGCGTCCGATGGTAAGGAGGGGGCTTATGACCCTCTACGGGGTGGTGATAGGCCTCCTACCAAAGCGGTCGCGGGTTGCCCCTCTTTTGGGGTCCCACTGCGCAGCTCAACCGGACCGCTCAGCCTCAGAGCGACATGTGAGGGGTCGGACTAGTCTAGGCCACTAACCGCAACTGAGTCCGAAGTTTGAGCCGTTGGCCTTCCCGTGAAACGACGGCTGAAAAGACTTGAAGAGAACTTAGTAATAATAATAATAATCTCTATACTACTAAAGGAAACAGCGGTCCTCGCGTGGGGCCCAACAGAAACCGGCTGCCGCTGCGCGGGACCGCTGTCGGGCAGCGGGCAAGGGGGAACCGACGGCGCGCCGGTGCTAGGAAGCGGCCGTGGCGAAAAGGGGCGACCCCGGGCCCGAGAAAGGAAGTAGATACATTGCCAGTTTTTTTCTTTGAGACCCGTCAGCCGTTTTTTTCCAGAAGGGTCGTGAGGCGGTTTTTTCGGATGCGAACCTATCGCGCGAAGCCGGGAAGATACATTGCTATTTTTTCTTTTTGTGAGCCCGCTACCGTTTTTTTTTGCGCCGCGGCAGGGGGGTTTGTGTCGGCGCGACTTATGAATGGGCTCTTTTTTCGCTAAGGTTTCCATGTTCTAGCCGAAGATTCATTGGATGTTGCTCATCCTATCGATGGAAGTAGCATGGCGCGAGCCGCGAGGTCGGAGAG